TGAACCGGCTGATCACGAGTCTTAAAGTTCACAATATATCATGAGAGATCACCACTTACCTCACCATCCATAATAGTTCAATTTCGATGAAGGATGATCGTTTATCTCAGTCTGACATATTGAACGTGTTACTGTTAATATGAATATGAACTCCATATGGAATTGTGCATATGATGATATTCCTTCGTCAAGGTGAGCGTCTAGTCTATTAGGGCCGTTTGGCAACGTGCCAAAACAGTGAAAATTTCATTTTTTTGTTCCTAAAAATAGTTTGGGAACGCAATGCGTTTGGTAAACTTTTTGTTCCGGGCACATTTTTGCAAAAATTTGTGCCGAGAAACAGTTTTGGAAGAGAAACAAGAAGTAAAAAAGTTGCTTCTTTTTTCTCGACAATTTTAAGAATAAGTTTTTTTTTTTCTTTTTCTTTTCTTTTCTTTTTTTTTGTTTGTTCTTCCTCATTGGCGGCCAGTCAGCGACCGGCCCGGCGGCCGTCGCGGCCCCTGACCAGGCGGCGTAGGCCGCCAGCCGGCGGCGAGGGCGCACGGCCTCGCCCGGATCGGGCGAGGCCGAGCCTGCGCTGGTCGCGACGGCGAGTCCTCGCCGTCGCGACCCCGCGAGGTCGACCTCGCCCGGGTGCGCGCAGCTCGGCTCGCCCGAGTCTGGCAGCCGAGCCTCGCGCTCGGGTGAGCCGCCTCGCCCGCGTCGAGGGTCCGACCTCGCCCTCGCCTCGCCTCGCCTCGCCGCCGGCCGGCGAGGGCCGTGACGCCCTCACTGGCCTTGGGCTGTGGCCGGTCGCCGGCCGCCGGCCCCCGGTCGCCGACGACCGGCCATGGCCAAAGAAGAAAATGGTAGAAAGAAAAAAAAAATTTAACAATTCAAAATATTATTAAAATATTATTTGGGAATAGAAATTTTGTGTAGTTACCAAACGCATTTCTGTTCTTTTCTGCTCTAGGAATAGAAATTTTGGACAGTTTATCAAACGCCTTCAAATACTCATAAATTGTTTCCGGGCACAGAATAAAAAAAATCATTTATGTTCAGAAATAGTTCCCGGGCACAGAATGGTATTCATGCGCACCCTTAGTCTATTTGTTCATCGACTACTTCTCATGTATGTTTAGGTGTCTAAATACGTAAATTCTTCATAGGTCCCAACTTGAGTGAGGAATGAGCATATTGACATGGGTTACTCTCAGTTTAAGGGCAGAGATTGATCGTCAATTCTTCCATATGATCACGGTGTACTCCATGATTACACGCATTTGGTCTTTCATGTCCTTTTTAGTGATGGATGCAGTTCTAGGATATATAATCTACCACAGCTAAATTGATATACGGCCTTTTTACATAGATCAATAACTTACAGTATAACAAAATGCACGGCAGCAGAAGTCTGTTGAGGGCGAAAATCGATTGTCAGATCATCTTAAGAATGCTTTTGATATCAGTCGGTCTTTAATTACATGACGGAGATAAGTAAAAGAAAGGAGATAGAAAGAAAGAGATACGCACCATATAATTCGTACATATATGTAAGATGTAAATACGCAGTGCTATTATGTACTGAAAAAAGAAAGGTATAGGGGTGTCAACACAAGCCTCTCTGCAGGCACTTGGTATGCAACTAAAATCAGCAGACCATGTGATATTTCTCAAAGCCCGTGGCAGGACACCGTTAAACCGTGTCGCAAAGAGCCCAGTGATAATTGTTGGGACATCATCCAAGCTTAAATACCATTTTTAGGAGGCAAACTGATTCGATAGTTGCCCACCAAACACAACACAGGAGAATTTCTATGTCATGTAGTATTCATAAAACGCGACAAAAGTGTGATACCGAAATACCAAGTGAAGTGAAATGCTGGACATGTATATTGGTTTATGTGAGGTCATGTTGGCGCGAGCGTCAGATTCAGAGGCATCACAAGATCAAGAGTGTGCACAGAAAACTGCATAGGCTTAGGCTTTGTCATCTGAAGACATCAGTAGGAAGATGAAGAAAAGCATGTGGAGAAGCATGTGTGGTGCAACGGATGTGCATGAACATGTAGCAAAATTCCTACTCTTCACGTTTGAGTATCTTGCCCACTTTAAGGAACGCATCATTAATGTAAACTGCAAACTAATGACGTACCCACATGTGTGTTGTTTGATTTTTAAAGAGGGAAAAAAGGGGTTGGATTCGGTTAAAAGGGGAAGCAAGCTTAGCTAGCGACAGCAATGAGCTTGATGCTTCATTGCTCCAACCCCTTAGTTGGACTTTCTTCAAAAAGGGTTCATTTTCGGTTGGATAACATAATTTTATTAAAAAAAGAAGAAGAAGCAATAGTAAAGAAAAAAAAGAAAAAGAAAAAAGAAAAATCCCATGCCCATTAATTCTGGAATCCCATTCCCATTGCCTCCTCACTGAATGTGCACATGAGCACCCTCCTCTCCTCTACAAAGAATATGTTGACAGTGCGACGTACTCATACGGTGTTATCGAAATCATTTTGAGAATTTACCTTTTCCGGGAGTCGAACTTTTTCTTACAATTCGCCTTTCAAACGCAACGAAAATGATCAATCAATTGCCGAGATATCACGTTAATATTTCGCGTGATGCAAGCCACGTAATTTCCCTTCTCTCTCTCCCCCTCATGACTCAACAGTACCATCAACCCCACCACCACCACCCCTTCCCCCACCTAACTTTAACTAACCAACTGTTTGTTTCCTCCTACACTTCCGTGGTTCTTTCTTTCCACATATTATTTCCGCAGCAGATTCGGCTACCTACCCTCCAAACATGTCACATGTCCCTCTAGTCTCCTCCTCTCTCTTCCCCTCCAATCAAACAGATGCTTGCATTCCCATCCAGCATGGGGAAATCAATTCTTATTCACAATAATTTCAATTTTCCTTGCGTACGATTCCCCCCCAAATGCCCATACACACACACACACTCTATCTCAGCAGCTTCAATCTCACACAATCAGCTGTACTTATATTATTTTTTCTCTTCAGAAAGGAGTTGGTATGTGTAGGTGGGGATAGATCCATCATTTTCCCCTTGGACCCCATTGATCGAGATTCCTCCATACACGTGGTTTATCATATAATATATATCATTCATCACCATCTCATTAGTGGTTGCTGCTTTTTTTTTTTTTCATTCTTAGTGGTTGCTGCTTGGTTGGTCTAACTTTTGGTACTAGAATAATAGTTTCCCTGCTTTTTGCGTAACTAATGTTTCTAGAAGACGTGAACTAAACCATGGGTTTGAAGAACTTCTGATTTATGCTGTCAACCCCATAGGTCTTTTGTTATTAATTTCTTTGTAGTGCTGGGTGAGGACAAAAGGCAGGTTTTATTCCCATGTGAAAGCTGGTGAGCCGATTGAGTTGACACATTTTGAAAACTTTATGTTTCGCCTTTTTATTTTTATTTTGCATTAAGCTCCGCAAATGGCAGAGCAGACCTAGATTCAACAGACACTGTTTCCAATAGTTTCTTGGCTTTTGGATCAAGGTCATTATTATAATGATAAATCAGTCTTCAAAAAGCTGCTTTTACTTGAGTTTCTCATACACACAAGTATGGATCGGTGCGTTTGAATTTCGCAGCAGTTTTCCCCAAAGTTTCACTGTTCTTCTTTGCTTTTCTGTATCCCGGGAACATGCATCTTGTCTTGAGCAACTAACGAAGTTTGTTGGGTTACAGGTACCAACTTCAATTTTCTTATGAGAGGCCAACTCTGGTGCTACAAAGAACTACTAAGTCAAACTTTTTTTTTATTGGTAAGATTGTGGTTTGGTGTCATGTGAGAGAATTTGGTAAGGATCTTGTTTCGAATCATGATGCCTTTGTTCATTCCATTTTTTCTAACTATGGTGTATGCGCCACATTTGAAAGGAATTATTAGAGACAAATTGTTCTATTGCTCATGTGTTGTTCTTACACAACTTAAAGAGTTGTTTTCTCAAGTCCGCTCCAATAACACAAGGTCTGGCTATCGAATCCTCAATCAAATTGGCCGAGCTTCGCATTATTTAGAGCGCATGATAAATCTATTAGCTCTCAGGTTGGATTAATCATGGGTTTTATATTCCCAAAATGGAAATGGAATTCAATATTACAAAATGCATCGAAATCCGTCATCAACAAAAAATTAATTCAAGTTGAAGTGAGCTAATATAGTTTGAAAAATGTTGTTGTTGGCTGTGGGCATATAAGGAAACCCGGGTGCTCAACCTGCAATCCCATGTGCAGCAATTGGAGAACTTGTTTTGGTCATATCTTGTTGGTCTGGAAAAGCTAGAATTCGGCTTGCGCATGATGTGTTAAAACTTTTCCCACTAAGACAAGTAACATTACCTAACCCGGGATGAGTCAATCAATAATATAAAACCTCGTGTTAGAAGAAGAAATGCTCCAAAAATTGAAAGGAAAGAAGTTCTGCCAACGCATCAATCACTAAACAAAGAGAAAGAGAAGAGAGAGAACAGCTCAATGTTAAGGATATGTCAGAACCTTTCCAGGACCATACCGACGTGGAGGTCCCATACCACCTAATATTTTCTCGCACCGGGACTAATCTGATGAATCGTTTTTGCACATCACATCATCCCTAAATCTAAGCTTCTCCTCAATGGAGAAAAACGGCAAGCAGATGCTGATAACCCACATGGACTGGTGTGTTTGTTTGACTTTGATCTTCTTCTTTTTTTTTTTTTGGTCAGAAATTTATTGTGCGTGGAGATCAAGATGTAATGTAGGGCCATCACCTGTTATCTGCGAGGACTTGTTCATTCATGGTACCAAAAGCTAGAACATGAAGGGTCATCCTACTTTTTATCTTCCGATTCACACCAGATGAAACACCCTTTGTTTCTTTAGTTGTTTTTTTTGTTCCTTGCTGTAGTTTTTAACAAGTGAAACAAAACAAAAAAATGGTCAGCAAGAATTTAAAAATGAGCTGGAAGAACAACAAGGTTGGAGAAAGGAACAGAGAGAGAATTGAAGCAGTAGCAGGTGTTGCCATATCCGTTGCTATTACTTCAACAATGTCATGATGACAAAAAAATCCAAATTGGAATGGGGCTTGATTCAGTTCAGGCAGGTGACAGAAGTGAGTGAGCATTCTATACTGGAATCAGAAATATTACAGACTAAACTTTATCTTTTTCCTGTTTCTTGTTCTTGTTTCTTGAAAGACTATGAACCTAACTCCGTGTAGTATCCGAGGAAGCCGTCGTTGCTCTGGCAATTCCGACACATCCCACCGCTCCGAGACCCCAACTGGCAACATAAGCACACCGTTGCTGTCGCTGCCGCGGCCGTGCCGGGCGTTTGGGTGACGACGAACGGGTAAGGATGCTCCTGGAGCTTAGACTCTGCCGTGTTCGCAGTCACCGAGGATGCGTTGCGGTTGAGCTCGTGACAAGATGGGGCCAACCCGATCGAGAGCTCCAAGTTGAGCTCGCTTCCGCACTGGGCTTGCTGCTGTCGACTTCGCGGCGGCTTCAGCTCCTCGTCGGTGGTGGTGCCGCTGCTCGTCGTGCAGTGGTTGTCTTCCGGGAGGGGCACCGTCTTGGGCTCCAGCTTCTTGCAGCCGTAGTAGCCGCTGCCGCCGTGCTTGCGATCGAGGCTCGAGCTAATGAGGCTGATTTCGGTGACGGGCAAGGAGGGAGGGGAGGTGGCCGCCGGAGGAACGCCGGGGGCGGCGGAGCTGAGGGGGCGGTGGGTCTGGGGGTCGATTCCGCGGCCGATGAGCTTGCGCTTGATGTGGGTGTTCCAGTAGTTCTTGATCTCGTTGTCGGTTCTTCCGGGCAATCTCCCCGCGATGAGAGACCATCTGGAAAACGAACCGAAATCGATGGGCAAGTTTCAAAACTCAAACTTGAGCCAGTAAAACATAGAAAGGAGGGGGCGGGAGGGTTCGAAAAGCAAGAAACAGAGCGATCCCCACACGAGACAGCTCGTCAAAGCAGAGATTTTTTTTTTTTTTTTAAAAGGGGGAAGACGCACTTGTTGCCGAGCAAGCTGTGGAGCTTGATGATGAGCTCGTCTTCTTCGTCGGTGAAGTTGCCGCGCTTGAGGTCGGGGCGGAGGTAGTTTATCCACCTGAGCCGGCAACTCTTGCCGCACCTGAGGAGCCCTGCAGCAATCGATTTCAAGAACACCCAGTTAGCAAAGTCAAACAGAAAACTTCCCTTTCTCTCTCTCTCTCTGTCTCTCGAGAAAGAAAGAAGGGGGGGAGGGAACAAAGGAGAAAAACATGATCTTGGAGGTTACCGGCAGCTTTGGGGAGGGAACGCCAGCAACCTTCGCCGTGGAGGCGGATGTAGTCGACGAGGCGCTGGTCCTCTTCCTTGGTCCAGGCGCCCTTGTTGGTGTGGGCCTTCTCGCAGCAAGGGGATCGTCCCATGTCTCGGCGCGCTGAGGCCTCTCTGTACTTCTTCTTCTTCTTCTTCTTCCCCTTGAGGTTGGTGGTGGTTGTGGTGGTGCTTGGAGCTTCGTGCGGGTGCTTGAAAACGCAAAAGGAGATCGAACAAAAAGTGGGGGGGGGGGGGGGGGGGGGGAATGGGATTTGATTCGGGAGTGGGGTGTATTTGTTTTTTGTTTATGTGGGGGTGGGGTGGGGTGGGGTGGGGGGGTTGAAAAATAAGTGGTGGGTGGGTAAGAGGGAGAGGGGAAATGAGCCAATAGACTCGATCTTTTGGTTGCCCTTTTGAGGACGAGGAAGGAGTACGAGAAGGAGAAGGAGAAGGAGATGGAGGGAGGGAGGGGGAGGATTTGACCGATTTGATGGAGAAAGACAAGTGGTCACCACACGAGAGGAGCGGAGAGGAGGAGGAGGAGGAGGAGGAGGAGATGGGGGTGGTGGGGGGGCTTCCTTTTTGATAAGGTAGGTAGCTCTACTTTTCACGTCACATACATGGCCACGCGCCCCCCCTCTCTCTCTCTCTCTCTCTCGATATTTAATAATGGAGTCCAGAAATTGGATTTAGAGGAACAAGAGCTCAGGAGGAGGAAGTTATGGCCCTATTGTGCTTCGAGTCTTTGATTGATTTTGCTCATCACCTATCAATAAATAGTGACATTCGCATTCCATCTCGTTGAAATGTATGAATTTTCAATGCCGTCTTTTAATTGGGATTGGCTACACCCGCCGGCGCTAGACCCATGTCATATAAAAATTTAAACAGTCGGGGTGTGTCTAGTATTCGATAGTCTGTCACGTCATTTAGTATGGTGATTTGAAAAAATCGATCTTAGTGTGTAGGTGTTGTTATTCTTTTTAATTAAAGCATGTGGAGACGAATGAATGAGCAATGTTATATGAATGAAAGAGTTTGCAGGGATCGATAAACGGAATTCCATGGGTCGAGCAGTGAAGTGCCGAGGCTTTGAAACATTATGACGCATGCAACCTCTGATGGTGATGATGATGGATCGCGCAAGATCTTATATGTCATTGCTCTCTAGATACTTTGTGTAAATAGCCTTGCTCTAAAGTTATGTAAGTATTTAATACGAAATATTTGACTACATAAATTACCGAGAAAAGTCGATATTTCATTAGTTGAGAATTTTCTTCTTTGACGTGTGTTTTGACGCATTAATATATAGAGCGATGGTGTTGCAATTTACAAGAAAATCTATCCTTTTAATTAAACATAAAGAGCTCTCAACGGTGCTAAGTATTGCAATGAGGATATACGATATTTTCTAGTGCATTTGAGGTCTTGTTTCTAATTATAGTGCTTGAGATCTTGCTTAGTAGATCCAGCACATGATAACCATCGATATTGCGATTTTCATACGTGGGTTCTACCTGGAATCTATTCGGGGTTCACAATATCAATGGTTGTAATTCAGTGGGTGAAGGAAAGAAAGTGGATCGTTGAATCAAGAGAATAAAAGGAAAGGGAAGTGAAAAGATTGAGGTCAAGATCAATTGTCTTGCCACGTGGAATATCCTGTGGGCTCGGTTGACTCGCAAGGGAGGTCCTTCCTCTGCTTACCCTATTCCTCCAGCTGGTTTAGCTCTCTGATTACACACATGCACAGATTACTTACAGGGGGCGGCAATCAAAACAGGGGCGAAAATGAAATGACCTTTTCAAATTCGTGAGGAAATCGTGACCCCAAAAAAAAAAAAAATTCATAAGGAAAAGGAAAGGAAAGGAAAAGGAAAGGGATGAGTTTGAGCCTTCTTCTTTTCTTTTTTGGTCGGCAGGAAAGGGAGGAGTTGAACCGGGGCATTCGCATTGGACACAGTCACTGACCTTTTCCAAAGTCTTCATTTGGGTCTTAACCCAAACAGATGTGTCCCAAATTAGAAACAAGGAAAGAAAAAAGGGTCACGTTATCTGTTCTCACTCAAGAACAACAGGAGAGAGAGAGAGAGAGAGAGAGAGAGAGAGGAATTACCTTGTTTCTTTCTTCCTCGTTCTTGAATGGACTACGTTTGGAGAGTCAAAGGGCACCCACAAGAAACGAGCTTTGGATGTTTGGTTTGGAATGGCTAGTGTTGAGAACTAGCAATAGGGGGCAGCATGAAATTTCGGCGGATCTGGTGATTACTGCTTTTGTGTTTTTGGTGAATCAGCCCGTACTAAAATAGGAAAATACCCTTAAATCAGTGTGGTAATAACATGAGACGGGCTTGAAATTCAACAGATAGGTTCCTCAAAACTTAAACCTCATTAAACGTATTACGTCGGTATTCTCCTAAAGCACATTAAGTGATTTAGGTAACAACATTCAAACCGTAAAGAAAGCTCGTTTGGGTAATTACACAGTTTATTCTGTTTCGATATACCTATTTGTCCAAATTAGTTAAACCAAACAGATACAATTGAGCAGCTGTTGACTACATGTGTGCTTTATTGGGATGAGTTTGGAAAGCTCGTTAAGAACCTGGCTTGGATGTAGAAGGGGTTCTAGGGGCGCGTTTGGCAACCGGCCAAACAATAACTATTTCTATTTTTTTGTTCCTAAAATCAGTTTTGGAACAGAAATTCGTTTGGTAAATTTTTTGTTCCCGGGCACAAATTTGCCAAAATTTATTCTCAGAATCAATTTTGGAACAGAATCAAGAAGCAAAAAAAAGTTGCTTCTTAATTCTGGAAACAATAATAAAAAATGAAAAAGAATTTTTTTTTCTTGGTTTTCTTCTTCTTCTTCCTAGCCTGCGGCCGATCGCCAGTGTCGGCGACTTGGCCATAGCCAAGGAAGGGAAAAAAAAAATTAAAAAATTAAAAATATTATTAATAAAAAGAAATTTTGTATAGTTACCAAACGCATTTCTATTCTTTTTCTATTCCAAGAATAGAAATTTTAGATAGTTACCAAACACTTTTAAATGCTTAGAAATTGTTCTCGGGCACGGAATAAAAAAGAATCATTTCTGAACAGAAATTGTTTTCGGAAACAGAATAGTTGCCAAACATACCCTAGATGTACGCAAGACTTATCAGGTTTAGATTGGGTAAACCCAATATTTGGCCAAGAAACAGAAGTTTGAGCCTCCAAAAAGGTGAATAGGTTAGGACAATGAACAAATGGCTAAAAAGAAGACGTACAAGATCGTTTTCTTTCCAAATGTAACCTTGATTTTAATAAATCAACAGTTCCCCAATTTGCCAAATTTTTTGTGGTTCACTGAAATAAGGAATATAATCCGAAAAAACAGAATGATACACGCATGTATGTATGTATATGTAAGAGAGAGAGAGAGAGAGAGAGAGTTACATTGGATTAATGAATTAGGCAGACACGCTTAACTTGTTGCGCCTACTTTGTTACGTGTAAGCTGAATGCCTGGGAGGCACAAGGCAAAGACGTCACTCCTTGGCCGACTGTTTAATGCACATTCTACAATTTTTGAGATCCCTTGTCATGCATTAGATCCTCAAATCAATTTTATCCCCGTCTACTTCTGGCCAACTACATCAGAAAGAAAATCCCACCGTCACCACTTTTATCAGGAGTAGATGAAAGGCTGACTATCAAGTAAAAAATCCCCCATGGATGGAGAGGCAATATTTCCATCTTTCGATGCTACAACTACGAAAAAATGACTAGAGAAAACTCTTTCCCAAAATCAGTTTACGCTATCATGAGACATTTCAACTTTTCTCAGAACCCAATTGATCTGGCGAATTCACATTTGATAACATATCTGATATTGATAGGCCCTGCTCATCTCCCGTAAAGAGAATGCATTGCTAATCGTATATGTGTGTTCTCATACACTAATGTCTACAGCACGGCAGCAGAATATATGTACCTGGGTTGGCTATTTCAAACCTGTCATGACTCACAATGATAGAGGGAAAGCATCATCAAAGAGTAAGACAAAATAGAAAGCAAAATCCCAATGAAAATCCAGTGAACTAATAGAATAATCTACAACTGGGTCCTCCAGTTACATAAAGTACTTGATTTGGTCATTCCATTGCAACTCTGATGGTGACCATGCTCTCAAACAGATAGCAGATCTAAGCAAACAGCATGTAACCTACAGGCATTTGTTCGATAGACAAGAAAAGAACACAGAGTCACCTCAATCTACACAAGGGAGAAGCCATGCCACTTGATTTTTATACGATGGATAACTTTAATTTTTCATCTTCCTACTCAGGACCCAAAATTTCAGGGGCACTATCTAAAATATAAAAGAATGTGTACTTGGAATAGCAGTTACAGTGGCCAAAAAGAGTTGGGAGAGAATCGAATTAGCCTTTTCCCTTGTGGTAAAAGAATTGACATTTACAAAATCAATATGCGATGCTTTATAAGATACAACGAGTGATAAACTTGTAACCTATAGGACACGTATCCTTACAATATTTCAGATGATTGATATTCTTGTATCACTGTTTATGTCTCATCTTGTTTTGCTTACACATGCAATCTGGCATGGGAAAAGTGTATAGTGAGCCCCCAGGCTTTCTGAGCTCACTTCCCTTAACATCACTTCGGTGAAGCATATCTTGCATCTGGCGCTTGAAATTCTCCCACCTGCAAGATGTGCTCTGTGAGCATGGTTCTGGAAGAGCTTGCATATTATCCCATCAATTGATATACATACTTAAACAAATAAAATCTGGAGATATACGGTGGAAGAGTAGCTATTACATTCTGTCCTTAACCTACACCGAACAGTGGAAACCATGCAATAAGCCCCTTTTAGGCTGTTTCACCTAAGGCCCCGTTTGGCCATAAATCGGAAAATTAGATTGATCTGTTAATGTCCCTTCAGTTGGTGTTTAACAAGAAAAGATGGAACTGGCATTTATTCCAGCTAAAGTGCGATTAAATTTTGGCCATAGAATCCTTGATAATCAAAAAAGTTTACGCACATCCCTAAATGATTTTAGCACCACCGTTTCAACTAGAAAATGAGACAAATACTGGTTTTATAGGGAGAAATAAAGAAAATTTATACTTCTTCTCCTCACCTGCACAGCTAATTAACTGCTAAGTTGCAATTCTCATATCAGCTCAGCGGTAATGGATCTTAAGCAGATATCTCCATTGTTTACCAGTAAAAAGCATCTAAGTCATTCTTAAAGGACAGTACAGCCAAACATGAGTCAAGTTCACCATTCTACATTTAGAGTTTCAACACAAGAACAGGAAATAATTCCCCAAATAGATTAAGGATACATAGTTCGACCCAGATTAGATTCCAAATGAACCTCTGACCCACATCCCCCACCTTCCAACTAGACCACTGCTTCAGTAGTGAAAACATGAGATAATTTCACACAATAACTCTTTTGTTTATAGCACAATCAAGGAGCATTAACCAAAAGGATAGGGAACAAGCAGAAAGAGAAAGCAAGTTGAATTCAATGGAACCTGATTTTCGGGTTATCAAACAACAATGCCAATTTCCTTTTGTCGGGCCTAATTGTCTTGGCATGGCCTCCAAATAAGTACCGTCTATGGCCAATCAAGAAGTGAGGAAAGTTTCCACCTTGGGTTGTCACAAATACCTCACTATGAAGGCAAACTGAATAATCAAGAGCTGCCAATCTGGATGAAAAGCCCTACATCAGAAAGATCTTATGAAATGAATTTCTTCATCCTTTTATGCTCCAAATTTCTATCTAATAAAGAGCTCAGACAGGGGTCAGGATGATACCTTGAATGGAGCAAGTTCTTCGGGAGTGGCAAGGGTATCCTTTGTTTGTAGGTGAGGAAACATCAACTTAAGAGGGGCTATAAACTTTTCTTCTTTATAAATTTTTCCTGCTGCTACATATACTAAAGTGGTGTTATCAAAACCCATACCCCTAAGCATCATGCCCACCTGCATGGGAGTAGAGAAAATTTTCATTTATGAAAAACGGTTTTAGACAACTATACCTTGAAAAAGACAAGAAAATTCATTATAAGAAGAATGCATTTTCTCAGAAGCAATAAACTCATATCTCAAAGTGATGACATTGGATAATAGAGCACCAAAAAGCAATTTAAAACAGGTATCATGAAGGAGGCACATTCAAGCGACAACTCCGATCTTAGGTAGGCATTTTTGTTACAGGATCATCGGGTAACTATGAAAACCCTAACAGAAGGAAGGGCCGAGCTGATTAAATTGATGTGGATTCTTTTCATTTGTCCATCAAGCTTCAAAGCCTATCCATAAAGACATGAATACATAAAGTAGAACTTGCTTCTAACTCCACAAGAGGCGGGGAAAGAAAGTAAGAGTAGAAAAGCACTAAGACAATTATCTAATGTGATAATACTAAAGAAAGAAGGCACATCCGAAAGTCCCACACATGCTTACCATAGCACCAGCATGATCGAATGGACCCCATAATTATTTGACTGGTAATACACATATTAAGGTCATCCCATGAAAAAAAAATAAAATCCAATGATGAACACTAAGAGAATGAGAAAGGAATTCTGAAGGGAATAGAACAATATGCAGGTACCCCTCTTGGGATGACAACGATTTCATTACTCTAACTTAGAAAGACAAACATCCAGCTTTAAGCACATAGATACTCAAGCCTATAAGACAATTTTCCTCTATAATATTGTTTTAACTATTAAACCATGCCTTCATCTATCAGCTTAAACTTTTTAAACAGTTGACAGTTTATGAACTCCTGGCTCTGATTTAATGTTAGAAAGTCTGATCCACAGGTGTAAGTTAATAGGTGGAGGGGAGACCACATAAATATAAAGAGTATATAGGGTCCTTTGTCAAACAATGTGGGACTATATTTCAACAATCCCTATGCATGAGTTAAAAAAACCTTTATAATACCATAGCCAAATGCTCAAAGCACTAAGAACAGGCAAAATACTCTGCCAAATGTAAAGCAATTGATTTTGATAACGGCCTAAAACATGAAATTTCCTCATCATTGCCAGGAGACAGCTCCAAATCCTAAATATGAACTTTAGATGGTTGAAGTAAATTGTTATGGCCAAAAAAAAGTCAACTGTATGCATTCAAGCTACAAATCGCCTGCCACATGAATTCGTGAAACTTTGGCTACTGTACCACACTTCTGATTTAGCCATTGAGGTTTGGGCAACTTGGAGTGAAAAGTTCTGATGATGGGGCAAAGTAACCATCCAAAGGAGCTACAACAATCAGACATTACATAAACTGATACTCACTCATAGGGAAATATGAATCAACTTATAAAGGTTGATGTAGATTATACCTCCAGTGGAGTAAGAGGGCATTTTCCATCCATCCGATTTGCACCAGGTTTTATCACTCTTCCTTTTCTCCTAAATTTTCCTCTCCATCCTTTTTCTCGAGCAATATCCATTTCACGTTTCTCCTCCTCTCCACCATCATATTCGCAGCATGAAAAGGCAACCATATCCTTGTGCAAGAATGAAGTTTCAGATTTGTGTCATCTAAGATTATGTGTTTTAATCTTGTGCACCACAGTGATAAGGAAAGGAAGGAGAAACACCTTCTCAAATCGAAGATGCACTGACACATATCTGCCCCCACCTTCTGAGCTTCTCCTAATCATTCTTTGAACCATCCTCTCAGCAAGAACTCTTATAGGTTCTGCAAACCTCAGCGCTTCAAAATTGGCTAAGCATCTGAGACCTTGTACAGTTGAAGGAACTGCATTTGCCAATCTGTTGGAAAAGGGGGCAATGCGCACAGCTCTGTAAAATGAAGAAGAACCACATAAGTTATCTGCATCGCCATCCCAAGATTGTAGTTCGGAGAAAGATATTTAAAAGGTTTGAAAACAGCTGATTTTGGTACAGGTGACAGTTGCTTAAAGCTGATAATTCATGCCTCAAGACAGATAACAACTGTGTTTGGTTCGGCTTTGCAAATGGGCCTCGGGGAATTGCAAATGCCTTTGGCCTAAAGCCCCTTGGAGAAATTCAAATTGCGTTTGGTAAAAAATCCTTTTTAAAGCTACCTTGGCCTAAGTAGTGTTTGGCAAATTTTTTTTTTTTTTGCAAAGGGCTTTCGGGTTTAATTTTTCTTTTTTTTATTAAAAAAAATCAAACCCTTGGCTGGCTCCAGCAAAGGGCTAAGGCCGCCGCTGAGCTAGATCTAGTGCTGGCAGCCGTCACCTGAGGTCGTGCAACCCCCGGCGAGGGTCGTGTGACCCCAGGCGACCATCGCCCGCTGCGCCAGCCCCTCGCCGGCCCAATCTAGCCTTGTCGGCCGCCCTTGTGCAAAGAAGATGAACAGTAACAACAAGAGGCAAAAATCGAAAAATTAAAGAATTAGTGAGGGTAGTTTTGGAAGAAAAAAACTAGTTTCCCAAGGCTCACATTTGGCTGAAAGCCCTTGGGAAGGCTTGCCAAACACCCCAGCTTTTTCCCAAGGGGCTTTGCAGGCCCCTTGAGAAAGCTGAACCAAACGCATCCAATGCGCCTCTTACCGTGAAACTATTGTAAATGTCCATTTGTCATGATCATCCGGTGAATACAGGGCATCTAATATCTTCACCCACCAAAATTTATAAATAATAAGAAAGTTGGGTAGAATGGAGCTTTGTGGTCGAGCCACCTTATACAAAATTCCATTCTCTCCCACTTCCCTATACATAATTAGAACCAACCCAATCCTTCATAATTATTAGATAGTGTAAATTGAATAGTCATCAAAGCTAAAATCACCAATTGAGAATATTCTTTTAGTTATTTTTTCCATATATGCGATTAATATAAGATGTTTCTTTTAATTATTGAAAAAGAGTCATACAAATTGAGTGGGGTCATGTCAATTTATTTGTATACACATATACATGATTTCTTGACAAATAATTATACATTTTTAGGTTAGTGAAGAAATCTATAATCTTATATATATGTATGTATACATAAGAGGGTTTTCAAAGATTGTATTTTATATTTAAATGTACACTTCAAAGATTGTATTTTATATTTTAATGTAATATAAAATCTATTTCTTGAAGGGTTATCTGAGTCGGCCTCTAATTCTTTGGTTTGAGAAAAAAAACTGAAAGAACTAAAAGAGGAGATACGGAAGAGTCAAATGGTCAAATTATTCATCTTTTTTTGACGTTTCATTGAATAGTTCATTGCATCAAAATAATGAGTATAAGGTAATCCAATGGAATTCCTTAGCCATTCAACCCTTGGTTCTTCATGCCATAAATTCCCTTTTACTCCAGTACGAAGAAATTTGTGGAATTCCAATGGACAGAGAGCAGAAATTGGAAATTTAAAACCAAATTGTCACGACTTAAAAAATAAATAAATTATTAATCGAGCATAGAGTAACCAAGCAATCCAATTGCTCCATCGTTATCACGAAAGAAGGAAGGGAATCCATGTCAGTCCTTTCTTTCACTTTCATGTGTCTGCATTGCAGTAAGAAACTGACACATGTATTTTTCCTTCCCTCTTGCAACTCGTTTTATACAAAAGGGAGTCTAATATTTTCTCTACATGATCTGTTTGCTGGCTTATCCGTATAAGCAATGAAAACATACCTTTGACATTACAGGTCCCACAATTTTTCTTGGAGACCACAATGTAAAAATTCGTCTTTCCTTGGGGGGGTATGCGTTTGTTTCTGTTCGATTTTATACCCTCTTTATTTGATTGTTGTGTAACCTTATCCTATCGAATCGAACTACATTATCCTTCTCATTGCATATAGGCAGCATGCCTGTGAAGTCTTCCAATACTTTGAGCATTTTAACAATGCGTGCTTTTTGGGAGCAGATTTGAGTCTTGCATTTAAACAAATGCAATACCATGTGTAATTTGACAATAGACAGACTATACACTTCTTAACAAACCTAAAAGCACATGTGCTTATTTTTGATAAAATATCATGATTTCGCCATTTTAAAGCAATTTATCACATGTTAAAGCATATATATAAAGTTTATCCATGATCTTCATTGAATTTTCTATATTAAATAATCTTCAATTCAGAATTTAACTACTTTAGATACTGAAATCAATTCATTTAACTCATTAAGCAATTTATTATTTGTTTTCTACTCTACACACGTATCTCTCATGTTGGACAAAGTCTGTAGTATTGGTGCATGCAAATTTGAGTGCAGCAATTTTGTTGTTAGCATTGCAGGATGAGAAAGAGCACATACCCGAGTTCCTGAAACTTCTGTAGTATGATTTTTAAGGCAATGTTTTGAGTGGTTAATTTTCTTTCAAGAAACTTCTGTGCACTTGTTAAGATACCATCTCAGTAAAATCCCACTAACAATTATTTGGAAAATCATTGTAGGACTTTCAATCTTCTAAGAAAGTAAAAGATGTGGATAAGACATGTGTGTAAAATGAGATAACTGACAGCTCTAATGGAGTCAGTTATGCTAAGAAAAGATTTCAGAGAAAAAAGTTAGCATTGCAGGATGAGAAAGAGCACATACCCGAGTTCCTTTATCCTCGGAAGGACCTTTTCAAGATAATGGTTACGACTGGACCAAGCTTTTACTCTCAAATTTACTATGCTGCTTATGTTATAGTCAAATCGCTGAAGCATATCTTCTGGGAGCTCTCTGACTATCTTTACATTATTCTTGAGAGAATCAATGAAAAAATCTTCATCAAATATGTCTGAGAAGTTGCTGAAACAAACAAAAGGAACAAGATGTGAGGTTTCCATATTTTGGAGCACATAAATGCTAACAATGACATGCGCTTAAATCAACCAAGAAGTGATGTCCTGAAACATAGAATTATATAGATAGAATGAAAAGTGTCACCTCCTAATGATACATTGAACCTTTTGAAGTAAAGCGTGCTTCGCATGAGAAGAAAGGTCTGAAGCACCGTAATTTGCAGAGAGATTATTGTCTATGTCATGCTACAAGATAGGTTTTTTAGTACACCCTAACTAATCAACCTAAATGTTTCATTCCACCCCTACTTATAGACGTAAAATCATATATCATGGTAGATGAACACTGAGACCCCGTAAGATCAGAAAATCCAAGACACCCAACTAAACAAATTGAAAAGTTCAAACCCCAAAACTCAGCAAGAGAAACAAAAGATTGTGCCCTACCAATCACGTTTGAGGTACACTTATTTTAGAGTAAGAACGGCCCGTGCCACCTTTCTTTTACTGGTTTCTGACAAGACCCATAGGACAGTTTAGGAACTAGCATAATTGAGAGCTAGTTAACATCTTTTAATACACCCAGCATTTGGGTACAAGAATTCATGTTGTCTAAGGAATCTCACTGATCAGTAAGGCTTGTTGACGGTGACAATGTTCATGATTCTGTAACCTTGCTGTGCTACAAAAGGTGAGGACCATTGCCTAAAAGCTGAGTGAAACTAGAACCTATCATGATGTCACTTAAGGATACTCCATAGTAGTTTATAATTTATGCAGTATGTCAGCCAGTGATCAGAACTTCAACATCAGAGCTTCTAAGTTTATTTTCCCTTGCCAGAAGGCTCGTAAGTTCACTTACAAAGTGGATTGATTAAGTGACCGAACTCAAAAGAAGAATCATTATTAATGGTCCAAGACCATACATACAGATAGACATAACTTGAAAATTCCGAAACAATGGGTCCTAAAACAGCAATCTTCTGCTTGTATTTGATTATCAAGAACCACACTGAAATACCTAATGCATGGTTATTTACTGAGGAGTAAAAACCAATCAAAACCTGGAATCTTGCCAAACACTGTTCAGATGAAAAATAGGTATAACCAGAGTTGCATTCAGCAGTCCAGCTACTGCCACCGCATCACATATCTGCCATGAAGAGAGATGAATCTTCATTGGTGACAACTATATCGGCTACAATACAGAGATAGAAGACATACAGCAAGAGTTTAACTGCTACAATGTCTTATGCAATTATTATTCTACAGTTCAACTTATCCAGGTGTATTTATTTACAGTTCAGCATAAGTAATCAGATTGATTACAGGCCAGGGACTCGTATTAACAGCTCAATGTGGCCGCACATAATTCTGAAGAGCAAAACCTAACAGGAGAAAGTTCCCTATGAGTTCTCAACACTCATAGACATAAAACCATAATCGGACATACAGTCCTTTTTTATGCTCAACTCATACAAACCAAGCAAGAACCTACTGGACTAGGCTAGCCATTATTAGTCTTCGTCAGAGCCTATAAGTATCTCCATTCTTAACAAATTCTAGTGATTGCTAAGTGGCCAATTGATTCAAACTTCCCAATAGTCACATTTGCATGCAAATCTGGAAGATTTTATCTACTTAAATAAAATATTTTTCCAGATAAGATTAGCAGATAAAGTAAGAGGAGCCATGGAGTCAAGCAGGGCCTGCTATCTAAAACCAAAAACTACCGTATTAAGACATGATAGTGAATTGCATCCATTCTGTCTACGCTTTGAAACCTTGCAAGGTTGTAGAAAGCTCAAATTTTCTTTCCTTTATCGAAGACTACATACACAGCGTCTTGCATGATCAGACAAGTAACCAATATAAGCTTCATTTTTCCATGCATGCACACATACAATTAACCTTCCCTGTCCCGATAGCCATAAATGTAAAAGAGAGCATAGACAGGTTCCGTTTCTTGAAAGGTGACGAGTGTGTGATCCCTCATTAAGACAGTATCACCAATTCTGTACTTTGCATTAGTGATAGAACTAAGACATGGGACAATACCATTTACAAGCTGTATCAAAGATGCAGAACATCACTAAAGTTGAGAGAGAACACACCGACAAGCGTTGTTGGTTCAACCCGCCATTTGCTTCAATTATAAGGAAACCATTCGATTCTGGCAATTGTGTGAACCCTAGTGGCAGAAAAACGCTATTAGCAATTAGTTGTTTCCAGTGATATTTGCGAGCATAATACAGCATATTTCTCTCCAACTAGAACAGCATTTTTGGACCCATAAACAAGCAAGAAATTTGAACACCAACATATAAGTGGATCTGCAGGCATGCTTGTGCCATTGCATATTATCTTTATGGCTAAGCCTTATGCTGCATATATGAATGAGGAACAAGGTGGTTAGCATGGGAACTAGGGGATTATCACACAGTAAGAGCAGACCTCAGCACAGAAACACATCACATAATTAACTAATTGAGAAAAATATCCAATTTAAACCATTTGAACAGAAAGTCCAACCTGTTTGAGAGATAGTCATGCTACCACAAGGCTTCCAACTTTGATGTAATGTTGGACTCCATGCCATGGTCAACTGCATGAAGAGTAACAAGAGATCAGCCAAATAATTTGCATTTCTGTAGAGATCAGACAGATTATGCTTTGAAATAACAAGATATCAGCTACAATCACAGTGAAGAGTAACTTTAATAATTCGACAGCAAACTTGCAGATGTGTTTACCACATACTATACACCTTCATCCCATAGAAGAATGCAACATCCTTTTTGTAACATTCAAACTTTCTCTGTGTGACATCCTATTACATTGAAGCATAAATGTAGAAAAAAAATTACTCTTTTGTGAGATCTAACGCTAAGTCAATTCTAAGCTGACTAGTAAGAGGTTAGCAAGTTTAATATAACCTAGCCTACCACCAGATGTCATAGTCTACAGAACCAAGCAACCGAGAGGTCTCTCCAAAGAGGCCAATGCCTGGCAATTTTTCATCAAGGATCTTCACCTACCAAAATTAAAGAACTTTAACAGATAGAAAGTGTCTCCAAACAACAGCAGCAGCCACAGCACCAGCATAGCATGCTAATGTCAGTTTCACTTCTCTTTTAAGTCAACAAAGTAGCTCAAAAGAGAGACGTTCAAAATCAACAAGCAAAGAAGGGCAAATGGTCAAACTACCAGCACGGATTGATCACTTCACCATCTCCCACCAATATGGACGACGCGTTCAAGAAAGCATCCGACGGTCTAATCAAAGCCAACAGCTTTATAAATGAAGCACAAAACCGTTACCGCGTTAAAGCTGGAATTGCTTTGGGTCTCCATCAAAGGCCACAGCTTCTCGAAGACCTGAGGACTCCTGTACACCGATCCCGGAGGCGCAGGGCCGTCCGCGCTCCTCCTCCCCCCGACGTCGAACCCGAAAGACCCCATGTACAGTACCATCCCCGCAATGTACAACACCGGCGCGAACAAGAGCACGCCCCTCCGCCTAAAGACCGCCGACACGATCACCAGCACCAGTTTCTCCACGAGGCCCTTCTTCGGCCCCCTGCCGCCGCCGCCGCCGCCGCCACCGAGGCTCTTGTTCCGGCCGTGGCGGGGCCGCGGCGAGGAGGGCGGCGAGGGCGTGGAGCGGCCGCCGGCGCCCAGACGGCTGTGGCCGTGCGGCATTCTGCGTCGGCGGCCTCGCCGCGAAGATCTAGCAGCGGAAGGAGAGAGCTCGGACGGAATGGCGCGGATTCGAGGGCAGGATGCGACGTGGGTTTCGGGAGCGCAGGTGGGGAAAAGGTCGCTGCTCGTCAAAGCTCGGGCTCGATTCTCTTGCAGCAAGTGGAAGCAGAAGCAGCAAGCAGTGCGTGGACATTGCGTAGCAGTCCTTCGTCATCAATGAGGATTGGGAAAGGTGGTTACTTTTTCACTTTGGTCGGTTTGTTTTTTCACTACAAAATAACTGTTGACATGATTCCTCCCCCGCGATTATTGCCACTAAGAATGTCGCCTTATTGCTAGAGTGGAACGTAATACTAAAACTTTCAAACAGTCTAATTAAATTTTAAAATTTATCATGAAAATATAACTGACTCTCAAAATTTATCATGAAAGTGCAATTGAGTCCTAAAACTTATTTTTTTTTAAATTTTAGGACTTGATTATATTTTTTGAAATTTTTTGGAGTCAATTGTACTTTTATGATAAGTTTTAGGATTTGATTATATTTTTTTGAAAGTTTAAGGACTTAAGTATACTTTCGTGACAAGTTTCAAGATTTTCATTATGCACTTATTTCTAAAATAATTATCAGCCATCTCGTCACGCGGAATCTACCCCTTTCGAGTGTACGTTCCCTCCAATTACTGTCCCACAAAATCTCATAGTTACGTCGATCTTGAGTGTCTTAATGGCAATGCTAACATATTTGAGTTCTTCTTGTTCCTTTCCCAAACCAAGTCGAAATCACCCCCCACTTGAATTTCTTCTCAAAATAGGAAAGTTTAGTATAGATGCTCACGGAAAGAATTAGGCAAAAATCATTTAATGCGATACAAAAGAAACCAAGAAAGAGAGAAGCAAAATTCACTTTTGCATTCCTTCGGCTCCGAAGAGATCGCCGGATACTTCTCCACGTCTCTCCAACCGAGTCCCGCCGTCCGCCGTCTCTCTCTCTCTCTCTCTCTCTCTCTCGGCCTGAAACTCCGGCGAGCCGACCGCCGTAGATGAGAGGCAGATGGGAGGCCCGAACGCTCCGAGGAGGCTCTCCGGGATGCAGAAGCAGGTGCTCGCCCTCTACCGCGGGTTCCTCCGGGCGGCCCGACCCAAGCCCCCCGACGATCGCCGCCGCGTCGAGTCGATCGTCTCCGCCGAGTTCCGCCGCAACGCCCGCCAGGTAGACCGCAAGAACTTCCTCTACATCGAGTACTTGCTCCGCCGCGGCAGGAAGCAGCTTGATCAGCTCAAGAGCCCCGACACCACCGGGTTGTCTTCTCTCAATTTCGTTCCGCCTTCTCGATCGATAGACTCGAACAAGTAGAGCGAGTTTTGGTCTTCGGGGTCGTATTTTATCTGGGCCTAAGTTAAACTGCTCAAGTGACGATTGCTTTTGGGGAAAAGTTTCATTCCATTCAGGAGAAGTTCGAGCCCGTAGTAATTTGACTGTGTTGGAGTATTTAAATTGTTGTTGCTGCTCAAGTTTCATTTTTTTTGGATAAAATTTGAGGTTGGCGATGATTGGCAGAGTGCACTGCTTACTCCCATTGTAATTGGTAACGACATTGGTTTCATTTGTCCATTTATTTAATGGAATAAATCTTCCATTTTCTCTCAACTTGTCGTGGGAATGTGCCCTTATTGTTCAGGGAGTTTATGGTATTCAACGAGTATGTACGTGTGTTTGATGTAGGGAGATATTTTAATGCCTCCCTATCGAGTGTTCAGTGAATGTTTCGATGGGGATTGGAAGGTACTGTGTGTTTGAAGATATGAATGCAGGAGTGCTTTGTGTAGCAGCGAAAGAACAGCCCTTTTTTATGATGAGGAGGTAGCTGTTAAGCAGTTGAGAATAGTTTAAATTTAAGTATAGATGTGCTTGTCTTGAGATGATCTTCTCTGTTGAGGTGTCGACATTGCTGTACCTTGAGCTGTTTTTACTCTAGTGGAACAAAAAAACAAATGATCGGAGAGTTAGAGGCTGGCTAAAATCAACTTATTGCTGAACATTTCTGGCTTAGTGTCGCGCGGTTAGTCATCGGATATTCATGACTTTGTACTAGGCTGCTTGACTGATAGTTTCCTGGGAAATAACCTTTTGAGAGTGGAACACATGGGAAGCGCTTTTTGAAGATGCCTCGCGATTCATCCCGATAAAGAATATGAACTTACATGAGGCATTGAAAGATGAAGATGTGATTTTCATCCAGCTTGCATTTTTGCGAGTTAAGGATTGAACTTTGGATCATCTTGTCTATATATTGTTCTCGTGTAAGATTTTCAACATGAATGTCTCTGGTGAACGATAGTTTGAGGATATGATCCTATTGATAGATGTGATCGCAGTATATCAGGGTGTACTCAGTCTGTGTTTAAGCACAGACAAGCAGCGAAAAGGATATTGAGACCTAGATTTTTGAAGTTGATGCTGTGGATCATGAAGATGTGGAATGGGGTTCTTACTTTGTGGAAAGGTAATTATATTCGAACTTCAAAGAGTTCTTCCACATTTTTGGCAATTGCAAATGAGAATACGGAAGAGGAGGGTGGGAACAGGGTGAGAACCATTTGTTTCATTTTCTAGAAAGAGAACAGTGGAATCATAGAGAGATGCAACTTAGCATTCCAAAAGGTACTTTCAAACTTCTGTTTCATTGCCGTACTTACAATTTATCTGGAGAGTTGAACTTGAGTTTTTTTGTGTTTCTGAGCAATAAATCTGATCTATTCTTCGTGCGGTGTTAATGGGCAGCATACAGTCCACTTGACGTATGCTGGCTTTTTCTTGACACTATCGCATGGCAATCTGTTAAACTTAGTCATAAGAAAATGTGCTTGACCCTTGGACTTATTTCTCGAAATACATCAAATTTTACCGATCTAGTTCAGGTTTTCACATCCTTAGAGAATTGCCCTTCATTTGTGTTGGTTATTTATGAGTCTACAGCTGTAATTCCTGAATTCGTTACCCACCCTTACGGCTGCAAGGCCTCTTCATTGTGACAATAACAGCCCTATTCAGATTGCTTAGCATGTTTATGAAAGCTGGAGATGAATGACTTGGTGTGGCTTTACAGTGATCTGAACAAATTTTTGGATTGTCGTGTTTGAGTGTCGGCTCCAAATTTTGAGTGCTTTGATATAAAGGCAAAGGCTTCCTTATATTCTCTAGAAAAATGAGGGGCTTTCAGCTATTTAGGCAATCACGATAAAGAGTGCCAATAAGATAATCCAAGCTTGTGAGCTTGGATCACTGCTGCCAATTTGGTCATTCGATCTTCACTTGATCGCTCAATGGACAATGTTTGGCCTTAAAGGTCGGTGTTGGACAGTCAAATTCTGGTCACATTTCCTGCTTTTACGTTTGATGAAATTGAAATGTCATCTGTGTTACTTTCTGCTTTCATGAGTTTAGTATTATCTGATAAAAGAGGATGAGAGGGGCCAGTATGGGGCTCATCAAGAGAAGCACACTTTTCGAGCTAAGATTGGCAAAGCTGTACTGTATGAGGCAATTTTTGAATACGAAAGGGAGCATGATTGTGCCTAAACTCTCGATGAATTCCAACAGAGATCCAACTTTCTCACCAGATACGAATGTCGTGATCTGCTTTTTGGCATTTTTCGCTTTCAGCATTTGTGCACATTCAATTATTATAGTTTCGAAGTTAAAGAAACCCATGACTAGCTCTGACTTGCTGATGAACCATGTCCTCTAACTAATTTGGATGCTGCATGCTTTTAGCTCTCCAGTCACCGATTCCACAATATGGCCGCAAATTAGGCTTTTTCATTTTTCAGAGGATAGCAATTATGGACCAGAGAATGACAGCGATGAAGAGAATTGCACAATCCCTTATTTTATTTTTTCTGGTACAAACAATGTGCTGCTTCTGACATGGGCAAGTCAATGAAGGACTAAGATAAATTCAGCCGAATTTCATTACCGAATATGAAGAGAGGTTCACACAAATATAATGCCATTTTCCTTGATAGTATCAAGCACGATCCCCAGCTTGCCCTCTATTCTCTCATCCTTTCTTGGTTCATAAGCAATGGCATATACATCGGCATCCTTTGCTCGCTCAGCTATCAGCTGTCCTATAACCCTACAAGCATTGACATCCGTCAGTGACGGCAAATTGTTCCTGAGATCTCTAGCATTTGTTGTCGCGACAGCCACCACCTTGCTCGTCCCTCGGTGCATCACCTTTGCGTGAACAAACCTCTTTGAGAAGAACACGTTGAGCAGGAATGGCCTCAGGTACATGTCTGTCCTCTGCTTCCATGACTTCCTGTTGGGTCTCTTTGCAGCTTCACTACGAGATCTCCGGGTATAAGCAGATTGAATGAACGATTCCTAGCAATCCAAATAGAACAAATTTCTTATAAGTCGGAATAGTTATTTTAACACCTCTAAATAAGAAAAACATGGCTTTTAGCCTCAATATCTGTATCTCAGTCAATACAGCCAGGCTAACAGTGCAGAAAAAAATTAGGACACATTCTCATGACTCTATCCTTATAAAAGATACCAAATTCCAAAAGAAAAAGCACCAACTATAGTAAAAGGACGTAAAGAAATGTCATCCATGCAAACCAGAAAAAAAATAAACCAAACCACAAGACCAGTTCACAGTGCCCCTCACAAAATGGTCTAACAGATAGCTTTTGCCCCCAGTTCCTGAATCCTAAGCTGAACAATTGGGACTAATCATCTGACTAATGATCTAGATCATCGTTTGCCCCACTGACCAATGCAAGATTTATCAGGAAACAACTCAGCTAAAGAAAGCTCACCACCAACCTAGAGCCATTTTACAACAAAAGTGACCCCAAAAGAATGCACAGTAAAACTTAGCATTAGTGAACTATCTGATTTTGAAAAGATAGTTCGCGATCAATCATCTACAGAACATGATACAGTTTTCACACAAATTGGCACTATGCTTGTTTCAACATCCCAAAACATACAGAGAGACACGGAAAAAAAATAAAGAGACGTTTCCAGAAAATATCTTTAAAATAGTCAAATGGCAAAGATCACGACTTTCAATTCGTTGCCAGAGTTTGTCCCAAGAATTGTTGCCAGAGACTAGAAACCAGTCCCTCACCTAATAACCAGGTAAATTCGCCAGCAATTGGCATCTTAAAATAACTCATCTCAAATAGATGATCACAGACACTCTTAAAAGAGCTATCTCAAGAAACTTCACCCTGGAGCTGCCCTGGATGGTGAGAAAGGCAGCTGTAACCATGATTCTGGGATAGGATCTATGCTCACAGATACACGTGCAAAATTTCAGGATAAACAAACCAACGAAACCAATTAAGGTTCTTTCACTTTCATAAATACAGGAACCTGGACATTTCAACTGAGGTACCATAAATTGGATCAACACGCAACAGATTGACAACTAGAAGCATCTTGAAGAGAGGAAAACGGCGAGCTATTGCGAATAAAAAGTACGAAAGAATTGCGACATCCCACATTCCACAATCATTAGGAAGGTAAAGTCAGGTTATTATTGGAGGATTGCTGACTGTGACTCGAACATTATCCTGCTAGTCTGCAACTGTGCAGTAAGCAGGGTGTTCTGGAATCTTCAAAGCGGCAGCTAAACACTTCACAGAAACATTTTCACCTATTCGTTTTGAAAGTGTTTAAGCCAGACTTTATGCCACAAAGGTTCCCTAATAGGGCAAAAGGATCCCCCTTATATGCACACGAGTCTCTCTCTTGGATTTTTCTCACAAATTGGTAAACAAGGTCACATGTGCTAGCTTTTAGCTGCGTAATCAACATTCGAACAGTATTGTGCTCGCAGAGACTATGGATTTAAAGCGGACTCTTGAACGGGGCACTTTCTAGAAAGCAAATTGAACCAATTCGCAACCTTAACCACGAGTTTTGCAGCGAACAACGACTGCAATCTCAAACAAAACCTTTTTTTTTTTTTGGTCGAAACAAACCTTTGCAAATCCAATAAAAGGGCTGAGTTCCATCGACCGTTGCCACCTAATCTCAAATGATTCAACAAACAACTCAGGAGCACAAAGATTTCCCAATCCAATCAGCATCTAAGACCGACAAACTGAAGGGATTCAACTGGTTTCAGCCTAGGAAATGACAAAGCTCCCACCTTGCACTCACTTTTAGGCAAAAGGAATAAGCTTCTAACGTTACTTGACAACACTCAAGCGGAAACAGCATCATCACAAACCAATCAGCCGACCCATTTCTCGTTTTCTGTGCGCGAGGTTCGCGAGAAGCAATGCGAAGGGAGTCGAGAATTGGGTGGGGAACGAACGAGTTCGGGCGTTTACCTTGGGAAGAGCGGGTTTCGAGGCGATTGAGAGCGAGACCCTGAAGTCCGCAAGCGGGAAGGAAGAAGCCCAGGAGAGCGAACTGGGTCGTCTGTCCGTGGCCGAGCGCGGTGGGATTGCGACGGAGCGGAGAGGAGTGCGGTGGGCTCGCGACGGAGCCACGACGTACGCCATCGTCTTCTGTGTGTGCGCTCTGCCTCTGATAGCGTCTCCTCTCTGTCTCCCCCCTCGCTAAGAGAAGACGCTATTTCCGATATTTCGGCTAAGTTGTTTTACGAAAAATAAATAATTTTAAAAAAAATTCAAATAGAGATACGAAATACTCATATTTTTTCAAATAAGAAACGGAAATGAATCTTATATGGGTTAACACCACGAAAAACCCTAAACTGGTACACTTGTGATATATTTACTCCAAATTATTTTTTTGACCATAAAAAACTCCAAACTGGTACACCTGTGATAATTTTACCTTGAACTATTTTTTTGACCACCAAAAACCCCAAAATGGTACACCTGTGATAATTTTACCCTGAACTTACCACAAAAAACTCCAAACTGGTACTTATGTAACAATTTTACCATGAATTAAAATTTTAATATTATTTTTTTATTTTTTTCGAATTTTTATTTATTTTTTATTCTTTTCTTTTATTTTTTTTTCATCTTCAAACCCTGGCCGGTCGCCGGACCGGCGACCGGCCAGAGGCGGAAGCCGGCGAGGGCCGCCCTCGCCGGTGCCGGGCGAGGGTCGTCCTCGCCCGCCCAGGGCAAGGGCGACCCTCGCCCGACTCGTAGCAGGCGGCCCGACGCCGCGAGTGGTCGCCCGACGCAGGCGGGTCGCCCTCGCCAGATCCGGCGAGGGTTGCCCTTGCCAGATCCGACGAGGGTAGCCCTCGCCCGATACCGGCGAGGGTCGCTCTCGCCCGATACCAGCGAGGGTCGCCCTTGCCGGATTTGGCAAGGGCGGCCCGATACCGGCGAGGGTCGCCCTTGCCGGATCTGGCGAGAGCGGCCCTCGCCCGACGCCGGCGAGGGCGGCCCTTGCCGGCTTCCGCCTCTGGCCGGTGGCCGGACCGGCGACCGGCCAGAGGTTGAAGGTGAAGGAAAAAAAAAAGAAAAGAAAAGAAAAGAAAAAAGAAAAAATTCAAAAAATAAAAAAATATTAAAAATTAGTTCGGGGTTAAATTGTCACATGTGTACCAGTTTAAGGTTTTTTGTGGTATGTTTGGGGTAAAATTGTCACAGGTGTACCAGTTTGGGGTTTTTTATGGTAAAAAAAATAGTTTGGGGTAAGTGTGTCACAAGTGTACTAGTTTAGGATTTTTCGTGGTATTAACCCATCTTATATCAAATAAGAGCTTAAAATGACCATGATCGGGCTTGACCTCGCCGGTTGCCTACCGGCTATATATCCGACCGATCAAGAATATTTTCATCCAATGATAATTTTAACTTATTTTTCATCTTTTTCCTTTTTTCTTTCATTTTTCATTTTTCTTTTTCTGATTTGTTCTTTGCCGGTGGCTAGTTGCCAGCCACACCAACCACTAGTGATGCTCGAAAGGGCTGGGCATAGGCGAGGGTCACCGTCGTTGGCCATAGGCGAGGCTGATCGAAAAGGGTGGCTCTCGCCAGATTTAGGCGAGGGTCGCCTCGCCAGCAGCCAGTGAAGGACAACCTCAGCAAGGCAAGGCCGCCCTCGCTTGTGGCTTTTGAGGGCGACATCTAAATCAATTTTTTGAAAAATTACTTCAAAGGGATGTAAGCAATTATTTTTTTAAAAAATTTCGAAAAATATTTTTCAAATAATTTATTTTTCACGAAACAAACGTAACTTTTGGGTACAAAGATTTTTCTTATCATGATAAATGGATAACTATCTGTAGGTATACAAGCCATGCCATCTGACGTATTTCTAGAATTTGATATGAGCTTGCCTATTATTTGATTTTCACAACTGAAATTAGTATAAAGCACGTGGACTTTTAATGTAACAACTAATTACGGTTGTGTTTGTTTGTGCTATTTTGAAGGTCAAACAATAACTTTTTACTTTTCCGCTCTCTAAATATTGTGAAAAATTTAATAACCATACTAAAGCCCTTCCTTAAATATGAAAAGTTTATATTTTTTTAAAATCAATTTTGGAGAATGTATGCGATTTTACGTGTGAACATTGCTATGGAGTGAAAGGATCGGGTATTTCGGGTTTTAAAAATAAAAAGACGTTCGACGCAAGATTTAGAATAAGCAAAACGAAAAAAATTGAAATTCAGTCTATCAAATTAATTGATTAATTAGGGAAAGCATGATAGAAAAGAGGTCAAACCTGCCATCGCATGTCTCGTAAAGCGATAAGCATAATACCAAGAATGAACTCAATAAGAATTTTGCATGCTCGAGACTCAAGTTCCGTGTTAACATAAATATATTTCAGTAGCAAAAAAAAAAAAAAAATTTCAAGAGAAACTCACTCTCTACACCGAGCCAATTATATGATTTTACGTATTGGATATGTTAAAATATCCCACATAGCTACTATGTGTGAGCTCATTCCCAGCGGATAGCTCGCTGTCCAATTGCTATCCCTGAAGAGGCCATGGCGCACATCTGGATCACGGTGTCGTCCTGTCATGTAGAGGGCCGCCCTAGGAGGCAAGTCCAGGACTCGACCATTGCGAAGCCGAGCAAGCCGGCGGCAACGTTCACTGATGGGACGACGTGGATAGTTAGATTGAGCTTGGACACAATGAAGTTGGAGAGGAAGCTGAGGAGGCGGCACCTCCGTCTTCTTGAAAGCCCCTCCACCATTATCTTCTTGTCGACGACGAATCTCTCTGCCATTGTCTCTGCTGCGTACCAGCTCTGGTCGCTCCTCTCCTCAGCATATCACCCGGCCTTCTCTCCGTTGGGCCAAGCAAGCAAAGCTACTCCAAAAATCATAACTCTCTCTCCCTCTCTCTATAAGAGGGTCCTTGATTTGGGTTGTCTCTTGGTGGCTCTAGCATCATATACATATTCTAGGATCTTCAAGAGGGGGAACGTAAGGGGAGGGGGTGAGGGGAAGAAGTGCTATATCTTTACTAAATGACTTGCGTGAAGAGAGATCATATGTATACAAAAAGCATGTAAACGTTGGAGACAAGTGATGTGAGATATTTATAGGATCATTAAATTGGCTCTGTTCGTTGAAGATGAGCTTTCGTACATACAAATTGGAGTGCCATGGGACAACGTAGTACCCATGCTGGCTCAACACCTTCAACAACTTCAGTGACAAAAGGAGCTAGGAACGATGGAGGGTCGCCGAACGTAGTGGCTCTGTTCGACTTGAGGGCTTTGGTCTGATCACACAAGCTATGAGCCACTGTTTGCTACTCCGACAAAAGCGTGTTTTAGAAGTGTTAGATCGGCAGTCCAAATCGAGAACAAGAAATGACATCAAAAGTCGGATTGAACCAAACATGATTTAGCTACTATTGGTAGCTTTTGTGATTGGTGTTTTCCGAAGATGAAGTCATGCAGTCGATCAGCTTCAGGAGGACTCTTTCCTCCTCCCTCCATCTGCGTACATAATGCTATTAATTAGAATAAATTACTACATCGTTAGACTTGATATACATAAATTGTGCCAGAGAGAGAGAGAGAGAGAGAGAGAGAGAGAGAGAGAGAGAGAGAGAGAGAGAGAGAGAGAGAGAGAGAGAGCATATCACCTTGGATGAAGCAATTTCTCTGGTAAATCACTGTTCGATCATTATCCAATTGAAATCAATATTGCTTTGGAATGATGGATCATAATCTCTAATGAATCCAATGGAGAACAAATCAGATGCATCGCTAGATTTTGCCTTACAAGAAAAGACTAGAGAGATTTTGTCACATGGCGGGAGAGCCAGCATAAGGAGAGAGGTAATGTGGGGGCTGATGGCGAGGCCAATTAACGAGAGCGAAGAAGCATGGTACATAAAACGCTAAAGGATCGCACATATAGGCAATGTATTGGCCATACTCATTATTATTGTGGATACACTTGCCTATTTGCATTTGATACACATTTCCATAGTTGTAAATATCATATATGGTAGGTTTGGTCAGAATCGTTCAACCCAACAACGGGGTTGCGCATAAAAATCCATTCATGAAGATTACAAATTTCAAGAAAATTTGAGTACCAACCTTAAGATTTGGAGAATCATTGTATATGTGGCAATCTGACAATATTCGACATGGTTCATTTGATGTAGGGGCACCTGCTTAACCTTGGGGGTGCTACATGCAGCTAAAAGTCATAAAGGGTTGTCAATCTTTGTTGAACTCACTCTTCTTTTCTATAATATTCATGAGTACCAACTTATTGATTACACGCATTTGCAACGCGGATCAAATTCTTCTTTTCTATAATATCCATGAAGGCGTGGAATGTCATCTCCTCTTTGTGCCATTTGGCAGTTATCTCGATCGGGACTTCATTAAGATCACATCTTTATTTGAACCGTTGGACATATCAACATTTTCATCATAAAAAAATTACTTTTAGGGAAGAAGTCGCGCATTATTTGAGTTTCTTATATTTTCGATTAATAAAAAATATCTATGATACTTCAAAGCAACATAATTAGTAGAGGATCCCTATTGGATTTTGTTAATTAGACGAAAATATGACAGAAAAAGCTATACCAAACTCTTCACTTCTTCGGGATCATACTAGGGTCACTCGATTAGCTTGACCATCGATTGAGATTTATATCACGTGTTTCATTAACGAGACAGGAAAAATTAGAACTAACTATATGAGAGATGCATATAAAATGAGAAAATTGATGGATGTTTTGTGCAACAATTTATTTCTCAACGATGAAAAAATTAAGGGAAGCTCACTCCTTACACTGAGCTCTTATACGATTTTACACGTGATACTTCAAAGTGGATTTGTTCACCTAACGGTAGGCCCTAAGTTCTCTTCCTCAATCTGTTTGTTGAAGATGGAGTATGCTTTGCAAATTGGATGTCAATGGACGGTGGTTCAGGTGGAGAGTGGGAAAAATTATCCAAAATTTTTTAAACCTATTGCGCTTTTGTCAATTTAGTTATAAACATTTTAATTGTACTAATTGAATTTTAAACCTTTTCACGTTTTGCCGATTGAGTTCATTCGGCCAATTTTGGATGGAAATTACTAATGTGGATGCCGGCCGTCTTACACGGAACGGCATGCACTGACGTGGATATTTTTA